AGACGCACAGACGCACAGACGCACAGACGCACAGACGCACAGACGCACAGACGCACAGACGCACAGACGCACAGACGCACAGACGCACAGACGCACAGACGCACAGACGCACAGGCGCACAGACGCACAGACGCACAGACGCACAGACGCACAGACGCACGGACGCACAGACGCACAGACGCACAGACGCACAGACGCACAGACGCACAGACGCACAGACGCACAGACGCACAGACGCACAGACGCACAGACGCACAGACGCACAGACGCGCAGACGCGCAGAAGCGCAGACGCGCAGACGCGCAGACGCGCAGACGCCCAGACGCGCAGACGCGCAGACGCGCAGACGCGCAGACGCGCAGACGCGCAGACGCGCAGACGCGCAGACGCGCAGACGCCCAGACGCGCAGACGCGCAGACGGCCAGACGGCCAGACGGCCAGACGCCCAGACGCGCAGACGCGCAGACGCGCAGACGCGCAGACGCACAGACGCACAGACGCACAGACGCACAGACGCACAGACGCACAGACGCACAGACGCACAGACGCACAGACGCACAGACGCACAGACGCACAGACGCACAGACGCACAGACCCACAGACGCACAGACGCACAGACGCACAGACGCACAGACGCACAGACGCACAGACGCACAGACGCACAGACGCACAGACGCACAGACGCACAGACGCACAGACGCACAGACGCACAGACGCACAGACGCACAGACGCACAGACGCACACACACCACACACACCACACACACCACACACACCACACACACCACACACACCACACACACCACACACACCACACACACACACACCACACCACACCACACCACACCACACCACACCACACCACACCACACCACAGCACAGCACAGCACAGCACAGCACAGCACAGCACAGCACACCCCACCCCACCCCACCCCACCCGCACCGCACCGCACCGCACCGCACCGCACCGCACCGCACCGCACCGCACCGCACCGCACCGCACCGCACCGCACCGCACCGCACCGCACCGCACCGCACCGCACCGCACCGCACCGCACCGCACCGCACCGCACCGCACCGCACGACACACACACACACACACACACACGCGCACACACACACGCACACACGGGCACACACACACGCGCACACACAAACAAAGAGCACACACACACAAACACGCACACGCACGCACGCACGCAGCTCGCACGCACCCACACACACACACACACACGCGCAGACACGCACACAGACACGCACACAAACATGCACGCTCTCACACACACACACACACACACACACACACACACACACACACACACACACACACACACACACACACACACACACACACACACACACACACACACACACACACACACACACACACACACACACACACACACACACACACACACACACACACACACACACACACACACACACACACACACACACACACACACACACACACACACACACACACACACACACACACACACACACACACACACACACACACACACACACACACACACACACACCAACCACACACACACACACACACACCCGCACCCGCACACGTGTGCGCACGCGCGTGCGCACATACAGCGCGGACCAAGAGCGCACACAGCAGTGCTATGGCTATGACCTCCAGCATGACAGTTGTAGTAGGAGTACGGCATGTCTGATATGAATCGCGAAAATAGCGCGAATCTTTGTGGGTGGCTGTAGTGAGAGCTGCTTGCTGTTCCCCGGTCGTTGTGACACTGAGGTTATGACGTTGCATACACGTGTGAGTCGGGTAGCAGTGCGTCATTGTTATTGCTTCGACCATGGTAAGTGCATACCTAGGTATGGTATGGCAAACAGATGATAGTAGGACCTGTCCACAAACAGGCACGAAGTTGAAGGCTGAAGTTTCGGATTACAACCTTATGTATTCACGTTGGACTCCAGACACTGACAAATTTATTTGGTGTTTCACGGCCTCCCAAGAAGCCACAACTCTATCCGCCCCCCCGCCCCTTTTTTAGGGGCCCCAGGCCCGAGACTTTAGCCCAAGCGACCCGCCTAGGGCACGGCACCCTGCCCAAGGCCCCCCCGGGCGCCCCACCCGAGTGGCAAAAGTGTGGACTTCTCCGACTTGTTTTGGCCCATCCATTTGGAAAGTGAGGGAAATGATACACGCCCCCAAAAATGGGCCCTTGGAGTTTTGAACAAAGCACACTTCAGGGGTTGGCCTTCAAAGAGAACCCAAAAGGCCACCACCCATTTAGGGGCCTCCAACGTAAGCATTTTTGGGAGCTATCAGTTCCGAGAAGGCGTAAAACCTATTTCGACAGCCCAGAAGTGCTCGACATTTCGCGTTTGGAAGCGTCGTCCAACACACTGGGACTGACTGCGGGCTGGCAATGCCTTTCGCCTGTAGGGGTTGCTCCTGATTTGGGATTGAGCCGAGCGTCCAAGCATCTCTATTGACCTCAGTGATTGGCCAATCAAACTCAAATGAGATCTTCGGCGTTATGTTGACGGCATGCAGGGAAGCCTCTTCATTTCCCTTGCGAACCCCGCAGCTTCCCCTTACAAATCCACCCGATCCGGCCGCTGCGATGAAGCTTTTGAAGTGGGACAACCAGCCGCCCAAACACACCAGCCCCTAGGTCTGTCGGGGGTGTGCATTGGTGTGTTTGGGGACTGGTGTGAGGTGGGGAGTGTCTCCAGCACGTGTGCTCCTTGGGAATTGTGGCAACCAGCTGGCAAGGAGATGCGGACGGCAGAGAAACAAATGGAGGCAGCGGGAAAAAGGGGTGGGCCTTTTTCTTGAGGGTACCCCTTCTTGTGGTTTTAAGGGGAAACCAAAAGGAGCACCGAAGCCATTGTTCGGGTCCAACCTCAGAAAAGACGAGCCACCCAAATGGGTGAACCCCCGACCAAGGGGATTCTGAAAAGACGAATTGATCCCTGGACGTCGTGGGCACATGTTTCACACATCTGTCAACTTGGGGTTGGATTTGGAGCCCAGAGGTCCTGGCTTGCTCCCTGGAAGCTGAACAAGCAAGTGTACATATACTGCATCCAATCGTCGTGGGAGCTGCACGGAGGGTTTGGCCACACTTTCCTTTCAGGGAAAAAAAGCGAGTTGTTGGATCGCCTTCACCTTCCAGCGCCTTGTGCTTCTCCGAACCCGGCGACCTTGTCGCCTGCGCAGCCCGCACGGCCGCGGCAGGCGAAGCTCGAAGGTTTTGCCGGGGCCCGAGAAAGCGGAGCGTCGCGGGGAAACGTCAAACTGACCAAAAACGGGCATTGGTTGTCGTCGGGGGTCAAAAAACAGCCAAAAAACCGTCAAAAAGCTAGTTTGGACGTAAAAACTGGGTCAAAAAGCCCAAAACGAAGCCCTGGTAAATGGAGCCATTCGTGTTAGTTGGCTGTTGACCCAAAACGAAGCCAAGGACATTGAAACCTGCGGTCCGATTCCTGGTTAATTTTGGCCCATTCCCAGTTCGGGAAGGACATGGGGGGGGGCCCTCCCTGGGATTTATGGTTTTTCCTCCTGAAAATAGGGAGTCGCTTTGTCCGGGGCTGTGTTTGCCGGTTGCAGATGTTTACCCCTTTGCTGCATTTTCTCCGGATTGGTCGCGCATGGACCATTGCTTTTCGGCACGTTTCAGCAGGGAGGCTGTTTGTAGCCTTGCTTCCAATTTCGGGGCGGCAGCAGCACTTCAAGGTTTGTTTGTTTGAGATTGGAAGCTTCTTTAATCATTTAAGCCATGTTGCCCCAGAGGACATGTGTTGTCACCAAAGGCTTCTTATCACCGTTGCCACGTGGGACACGCGGATGCGAGCGCACAGTGAGGTCTCCACGTTTGCCAAGTGAGCGCTGAGTTCACCGGTAATTCAATACGTGGCGCTGTCCATGTGCCGGGCCGTTGTACAGAGCTGAGCGCGTGCCTCACGCGCCGGGCATGTCGCATGTGTACCTTAAGGGGCTGCCAGACTCAAATCTGTGGCGAGATGGGTTGCAAAAGACGGCAGCACCAAGAACGCATCTGAATGACAGCAGTATGCCACATGCCATCGCAGCTTCATTCAGTTACTCTTGCTTGTCGTTCCGAACAGAGATCCCCCCAATGAGCAGGTGTCAGAATCCCAAGTTTTTCCCGGAGAGAAGCAGTCTGCGCCGGTTTGGCTGGCGCTCCGGCAAGCGTTCTCGCACTTAGGCCCTCCGAGATTTGTACCACGAGATCAGCGAGCGCGCGCCGCGCTCAGTCGAGTCGGCTAGCGCTGCGGGCCGAATGAAACAGGTCCGCTTGGAGAGGGCTCCTTAAACGAAGCTCATTTTGCAACCATTTGAAACATGGTTTTTTTCAACACCAAAATAAAGTTGGAAGCAACACCATTGACAAGTTGCAATGTTCAGGTGTATAATGTCAAAACGATCTGAGATTGCCGCGTTTTCTTCGTGGGTTTGCCGGGTACGAGTACCCCCTGTTGAGGGGTTCTGTCCGGAGCTGTTCCAGGGCTGCACCTTGCCCCGTCGAATCCGAAAGGAAATGAAGACGCCTCATGTCGGTACTGTGTTCATATGCACGATTCCCATTTTTTCCGAGCTATTATATATATTATGTTATATATTTGTATATTGCGAGCAACGGAGGTGCAAAGAATGAATCTTTTTGCATGTACATGTTGTCAGAGAAATCGAGGCCAATTTGGAAACACCTGATGACATGTTGTTTGGCCATCTCCCGCCTCTTATCTTTTTGAGGGGACTGGAATATCTCCCCTCGCTGATTCCCGCGGGGGGGGGGGGGTACGCATTCCCTGTACCGTCAATCAGTTTGTTCAGGCCGCGTTTACATGGCAACCCCTCTGTATGCGTTACTGGAGTGACACCCTTCTTCTTGACCAACGGAGCTCTGGGAAGTCAAGACGCCCAAGCATTTGGAACCCGATGGGATCAGGTCGACAGGATCTGAGCTTGTTTGGTCCCCTTTTTCAGAGGTCTCAAAAGATCAGGGTCCTTTGAACTGAGTCAAGAAGCCCGGTTTGTTGAGACTCCGGGTCTGAACTCAGGGCACGCCCTGGACCGAAGCCGATGCCAACCCTTGGGAGGCAGGGAGCATAGCGGCTGAAAGCGTCTTGTGTTTGCGCCGGGTATTGCCCCGTAAGGACTTTGCCTGCTTGCTTTGCTGTGCTGCGCTTTTGCTTGCTTGCTTCATTGCCTGCTTGCTTGCATTGCGTTGCGTTGCGCTGCGTTGCGTTGCGTTGCGTTGCGTTGCGCTGCAGTGCTTTTGGCTTTTTTCCGGGCTTCCTGTTCCTGGCTTCCCGGCAATATCACAGATCTGACCGCTGGGCATTTGTGAGGACACGCCTGCGAGCCCGAACAGGCGCGAGCGGAGGGGGTTCTTGCCCAGGATCCCCATTTCTAGGTCCCCCAGCCAGATGCCCCTCTCACCCCTTTTCTGGGGGAGGGTTCCCCTACTCAAATAGACAAAAAAGGAAAAAGTTGGTACCCACAAATTCTAACCTCTCAAACCTGGAGGACCTAGCCATGCTTTTCTCTTGTAACTTCATCATCTCGGTGTTTCACGGGTGTCCCTTGGGCCGGGTGATGCTTAAGCTGAGGATTCGGCACCAGGCATCCAGGTGGCCTTCTATGAGCCAAGGGCCGCTTGCTCAAAACCGATTCGAATAGAAGGTGAGTAAAGGATGGTCCCAGCCACAAATGATGGTCCCAACTAACCCAATGGTACCAACAAATGATGGGTCCCAGTAACAACAGATGGTCCCAGCCAGGAATGGCTCCCTTCTCAGGTTGGGTTGTTGTGGGAAAAAGCAGAGATATTCACCATGTGTGGGGTTGGAATCTCAATTTTGACATACCCAGAAATGGGTGCCGCCGCCTTTATGATTCTGGGATTACGACCATTTGCCGATCGGTTTTGGTTTTGACTCACATGGGGTTGTCCTTCGTGTTCAGGCCATTTCTTTACGGGACTCCCCCAACATAATGATATCATATTACGTGGTTTCCTTTTTTGTTTCCCTTTTAGAACCAGCCCAACAGGGTACCTCAAGAAAAGACAGACCCAGCCGGCCCTCGCAAATCCTGCCTAGGCCAGTGTCCAGCCCGGGCCGAGGGGCGTGTCCCAATGAATGGCTCCCTTCTCCCGGCTACAATGGGAACCTGGTCACTCGCGGCTGCCATCCATTCCAACCCCGTCACATCCATGCCACACGGGGATCAATCAAACTTGAGGCAAGAATTGCCGAATCTTCCCGGCTTCCGTGTGGGTTGAGTTCGACCCCGTGCGCGGAAAAGACCACATGCGGGGTATGTGTTCCATTTCCTGCGATCTGCCCCTCCGAGCCCGCCAGGATGGACAAGGCGCGACACGTCGCTCTCGGAAAGCAAGCAGTTCTGATGGGTCAAAATAAACAAAGCCACCAGGATATGCACCACAGGTTGAAATGTCCATGTTTCCACGAACCAGGGATACCATTTTTGGACCCACACCGCCCCTAGTGGCCGAAAGGGAGAACAAAAAAGGGGAGAACCACCAAGTCGCCGGCACATCGCGAAAGTCAAGTGCTTGTTCGCGCGGGGCTTTTAACGCCATAGGAGGGCAGGCAGGATGTTGGCCATAGATTCTGGGGTTCTGCAGTATGAGGTACCTCCTTTCTTGGTGGTTGGGATTGGGGAATCAAAGCTCAGGTCCTGTAATCAAATGGTTTGGAGAATCGGGAAAGGTGATGCAGGGCTGCAAGGCTCTCAGTCTATCAGTCTGTCAGATCTCGAGAGAGCGCTCAGGGCACCGAGTCAGATGCATTGCAGGACGGGACGGGCAGTATCCGATTGAAAAGCCAACCAAATGGGTATATCAAGTAACACTCAGTTGGTCTGGATTGGGTGATACTTGTAGCTGAGGATCTGGATTTGAACTGCTGTTTGTAGAGGGTAAACGAATGGGAAACCCCTCCCCCCCCCCAACCGAAGCACCAATACAAAGCAACAAGCAGAGGTAAACTGAGCATAGGACCTAGGACGCTTTCCCGGCATCAGAGGCAACCAGCTTGCCAGCCTGTCACACCACATGGTTTGCCAGCTCCAAGTTCTGGAGCGAGAGGTGAGGGTTCCAGTCCGGAGAGCTCCTGAAACGGGGGGGGGTCCATAGCTCTGGGTTCCCTTCCAGGAGTTCCAGTCCGCACGCCTCCGGAAGGGTTCAGAAGCTATCCGTTTCCCAAGCCCAGAAGCGCCACTCGAGCGTGTCTTTCTTAGCCCAAAGAGCGCATGTTGGGTGAAGTCCTTTTGGTTTCCCTTCAAGTGGGGTACCCTCGAAGAAACAAGCCCATTAAAGGAAAACAGCCAGCTAGAATCTAGTTGACGTTTTTTTTTTTGTGTGTCTTTTTCGAGGGACGCCTGACTTGATTCCCGGATGGGGTGACCCTCAGTTTGGCCCGATGTTTATTTCGGACTTGGGTGCAGGACGCTGAGAGCCCCTCTCGGGCGCTAAGCCTGCGGCGACTCGAGGACCTTGAGCGCTAAGGGTGCAGAATTAGTAAGGGAAAGACCCAGTCGGAAATAGTTGCGGCCGCCTTTCTAATTCTTGACATGGTTCTGGGATTACGACCATTTTGATACCGGGTTTTGATTGTGACTCACATTTGTTTCAGAGGGCAATTACCCACTTCTCCATTTTGCTGAAGAAGATTCTGTATTTTGCCCTCTGGGGTTAGGGAAACGATTTCACTACTGGACATTTTTTCCCCATTTTGTCCCAGGGACTTCAGCGCAGCTTTGGAGGCCTAAAGAGGGGGTTTTCACGGATCTCAGGAACCAAGCAAGAAACATGTCCACCGTTCTTCGAGTGTCCTTTTTGGTTGTTTTGGTAGAAAAATAGATGGCGATTCCTGGTTTATCTGGTGGTTTCATCATCTCCCAGGGAAACCCATCTATTTCCCCCAAAAAGGACATCTATGTTGGATCTTTAGACTTTAACTTTTTGGTTGAAATCAAGTTGGGTTTTCCACTAAACCCACAAAAAGTTGCAAACACTTTTTGCAGAGGGGTCAACAGAAACCAAGTTTTTTCTCCTGTTTCCCCCAATTTGGACACCTATGTCTCCACCTTTCGAGTTGACCTCGCGGTTTTCACCTTGGCCCTGGCACATGTGGAGCCTCAGGAGCACTTTGAAGCGCCCTTGCCGGGCGAGTCCACCTTGGCGGCGCTGCCGCAGGAGAGGTCTTCGCGGACCGGAGATTTGGGTCTGGGGCTATGGGTCAGAATTGAACCAGGAATCGGACCGCAGGTTGGAGTCCTTCGTTCCATTTGCCAGGGTTCGATCTTGGGCAACTATTTTTGACCCACAGCCATGGGTCAACCAGACCGGCTTGAATTCTTGTTGCATTTGCTGGGACCCGTTCCATTTTTGGGTACCTTTTTGTTGACTCACTGCCAAGTGATCTTTGGGGTTTGTATCAACAGGGTGTTGCAGCCCTTGAGGGATGGGAAGCCACCGTTTGTCAAGTGGTTGGTGGTCTTTCCCCGGATCCCGGCCACTAGGAGGCCTGTGCAACCGGGTTCGGGTCTGTTCGGGAATGACTTTCCGGTTTCCGGGTCCGGGTGTTGGGAACGAACCTTTGGGGGTTCCCGAATGAAGGAAACCAAATCGGGTTGGTTTCATTGTTGAAATCTGCTCGTTCCATTTCTCATTTCCTGCCTATCGAACCAACAAGCTTCGGGACAGTGTTTTTATTTGGCAACCATTTTTTCAGGCTGTTCGCTCAGCTGGTGTTTTAAACTTGGCGGGGTATTTGGGTCTCGTGGTAGTTTCCACTAAACCACTAAAAGTATTAGCAGATCTGAGGACAGCCCAGAATCAAAACCTGGTCAAGGAGTTCATAACACCAACTGAGCTGCTTGTCAGGATATGGCCCAGGAGCCGGTGGTGCAACTGCCCCTTGCCGACGTCTGCCAGGACTAGTGCTTGCCCAAGCCAATTGCCCCCCCCCCCCCCCCAAGGGGCAATTTCTGTAGGTGGTTCTACTAACTGCTTGGTTTCATGGGGTAAAAGTAAGGCCTAGACTTTATAACCATGTTGGCACAAACACAAGCCAATGAGTAAACATTGCACCGCCATTGGCAGGTCTTTTTTTCTGCAGCTGAGACTGCTTCAAGGGGCAAAGTGCAGAAAAAAGACGCAACTTGGCGGTCTAGGTTGAAAGTAGACCTGTCCTGAAAGAAGGCAAAAGGAAGCGTAAAGGGGGGGCAACAGGAGCCCCTCTTGGATGACTATTTTCTCAGGCAAGCGGTTCATGTGTTTCGACGTTTTTTTCTTTTCGAGGAAGCCACCCCCGCTTCCCTGGGTTCGACACCCAGTTGGCCCAATTTGAATGATGAAACCTTCAAATAACTTGCTGGGGCTCAGTAGGGAATGACCCAGGGTGTTGGGAATGGACTGTTTGGGGCAGCCCGGCTCGGGCTCGGGCATTGTACTTGGGAGCATCATTTTCGGTGGGAAACCAAGAGCCGCCGACGTGTTTGCATACCAACGACTTGTTGCATACCAAGAACCTTGGGCTCCAGAGAACCAACTCACCACAGACCTGTTTGGCTGATGGTTTATGTTGTGAGTTGGTCATACCAAGCGATGTTTGAGGCAGGTGGTCGAGGCCTGTGATTGAATGGCGGCCGAGAGAAGTGGTACAGAAGAGTGCTTTGTGTGGGAAGGGGCATGCCGCAGTGACCACTTTGGAAATAAGTGGCTGTGGGTCAAAACCAATGGGATCCCATTTTGGGGTAGGTGGATTCACCACCCATTTTAGAACCTATTTTAGTGGGGATTGGGATGTTCACTGGGGGTACGGGATTTTTGACCCATGGCCAAGTAAGTTGATCCCCCTGAAAGTCATGCGTCCTTAAGGAGGTCTCTTCCTTTTTTTACCAAATGGGCTCGCAGGGCATCATACCGGCATGCTTGTTTTTAAGAAAGTTCTGACACCCACGCCACAGCTTCCTTGCGACACATCTTTGGCTCCGCGCAGGATCAGGGCACCATGACTCCGTCTTTCTCGCCCCAAAGCACGGCCCGCAATGCGCCAACGGAGCCAGTGGGCTCTCCCCGCGGAAAAGCAACTCTCACGGAGCCGGTGGGCTCGCCAAGTGGCAATGCCACTCTCACGGAGCCGGTGGGCTCGCCGCAAAGAAGCGCTGCTGTCACGGAGCCCGTGATCTCGCCAAGGACAAACATGGCCCGCCTTCCACCCGCCGAGCCAGGCACGCAACCCAGCGGAATGTTCAGACCACAGCTCATGACTCTGCCTACCAGAACCGTCCTGCCGATGGGCGCGGCATTGCCGATGGGTGCATTGCCCAGCGGATTCGTGACACGACACTCGGAGCCCATCGGCCCCGTCACCCCGCCGGGAGCAGCTTGCGCTCGGCCACTCACGCCGCCCCGCGGGACCGCGGCACGGGCCGCGCTGGCCATGCCCGGGGCGCCCGCGCCCGCGACGGAGCCGGTGGGCACGGGGAAGATGCAATCCGCCGACTTGGAGGCGGGGAGGGTTGCTCGGGTTGGGGAGGTATCGAGACCCCGGGTGCTCCGGTCAAGTAACGAGGGTGTATATATATATATACATATGTCGGGTGAAAGGTGCGAATTGCCACTATCCGAATTTCAGCAAAATCTTTTTGAGATGGCCGCTTCCAGGTGCTGGGTGGTGTGGTTGCCCAATCAAACACCAAAGGCGTCACACAGCGTACTGCATTTGTCTGCAATGAATGATAAGAGTGTCCTGCCCCCGGCAGCTCAAATTGTCTAAAGAGGTCAACCAAGCAGCATCATACAAGATAAATCCATAAATTAGGTGAACAACTTGGGCTACTTGGTGCGCATAGCACATCCGGAGCCACCCAGGAAGGGACCATGTCCATTCCTTACGGCGAGAACTTGTGTTTTTTGTCCGGCAGCGCACCGAAGTCAACGCACAAAAGTGTCGAGTCCTTTCGTTGCCACGCCGACATTTGCTTCCCGGAGAGTGGCCAGGAGGGCCAAAATGGGAGGGGGGGGGGAAGCCAACCTGGAAGTTGGAATTCTTGACCAATGGCCTTATGTTTTACCTGTCAAGAGAGATCTTCCAACTTCAGATGGGAATGGACATCAAAGGCCAGCGGGTTTGTCTAAATGGGAACCCCTCAGCTTTGGGCGCGTTGAAACAGAAAGGGAACCTGCCTTTTGGGGCTTCCCGAAAAGGAAGTTAGTTTTGTTTTCCAAAACCTCTCCTGTAAGCTTCCATTGGAAGGATTGTACTAGAACTTCCATCTGCTTCAGTTGTTTTTCCCGAAAAAACTTTTGTTTGTTTTATGTTTCTTGTTTCCCAGGGGGATGAACAAGCAAATGGAGGACAAATAGCTTGGTGGTTCCCTGCCATCCCAAAGAACAAGAACAAAAGCAACTTTTGGCCGGGGATCTGAAAAACGGACCGCCCAGATACAAAAAAGCCAAACCTCCCGCGTCCACATCTTTGCCAGGCCACGCTGAAGGGCCCCGCCGCCGCCGCCGCCGCGGCCTTCTTGAAGTCGGGCCAGGAGACCGGGGTTTCCTCCCGTCCTTTTTTGGGGGGAGAAGCCGGGCGTTTGGCTTTGGTTTACTGGTAGTTTTGTTTGGTTTCAGAAGACTCCAAAATGTGGTTTGTTGCTTCTGGATCGTTTGTTGTGTCGTTCGAGGTTGTTGTTTGTTGCTTGTGTCGGTGGCGGTCGGAAGCAGTGGCCGTCTGTGCGTTTGATGCCTTTGTCGGATAATGTCGGATAGTTGTGTTTGTTTGGTTGCTGCAAGCTTGAGGTGAGATGTCGCTGCTGATGGATAAACTTTGCCCGGCCTTGATGGAATCTAGTTATAGGAGTGGCCAACTCCTTATTCTGTGCCCTTAAGAAAGGTAGCATCGCCATGAACGTCGTGGGTTTCGAGGGCAGCCATTTCCCTTATTTTGAGCCCATTTCGGCTTTGCTCGCTGAAGCTCGATCTGAACCGGCGAGCCTTTTTGGCAGCCGAGAATCTGCGCGTTGCGTTTGGGCCGGAAGCTTTCTGGGGGAGTTCCTCAAGGAAGTGCAGGTAGAGCAAACAGGAGCCGATCAAGTGCGATGGCGGCCCCATGCGGAAACAGCTGGCTTGGCCGTGACACAACTGCAGCATGTTTCGCAGGTTTCTGCAATGAAGCAGTTGCAAAGTCCTGGGTGAACGGAACCATCCCCCGCCAAACATGCCTTGTGAACAGCCAACACCACGCCGCTATTGGCGGCGCTTGCCAAAAGAATGCCTTGTGATGGGCTTACGGATGAACCTGGGGGAATTCTTGCCACTCGCCGGCCTTCCGTGAATGAATCCGTTGTGTTGCCGTTGATTGCCCCGAGCTTTGGATAGATTGGCCTAGAGCGGCTCGCAGCTTCCGAAGCGACTCACTGCAATCCACTTGGAACTGGAAACACCGTGGTCATCCGGGGGGTTCCAAGGGCTTCTTACGGGGGGAGTCAAGAAGGAGACACCAAGAGTCTAGTACAAAGTTTAATTCGGGTTCCTCAATTTCCGGAGAAAAAAAAAGGCATTTCGTGGCCCCTAAAACAAAATCAAGCTGCAAAGGGAGCAACCCAAGCCTCGAACAAAATGATCAAAACCCATTGTGAAAAACTTGGTTCCCCTTCGCTACGGTGAATGACCCACATATTGCAGTACACCAAGCACATCCAGCCACACAACCACGAACATATGCAGAAAAGTAGCGGGTTTCTCGTGTTCCCTACTTGCTATACTTCGAATCGACCGGATCTGACCTTTCGGTTTGTTCATGCTTCAATTTTTGAGCAAGGTTGAAGGTGATCACCTTTTAGTTCCTTTCAGTCCAAGCTGGGGCACCAGAGCATCAACCGAGCCTTCCGGGATCTGAGGAGGATGACACGAGGCCGCGCACACCCCCACGGAACGTGCGCAGGGCTCACCCAGACTGCACATGTCTCGGGTTGGCAATTTCCCTCGGGGTTGATTCCTTGTCCATTCTCTTCAACCATCGTTCTTGTCAAAAACCGGAGCCGTTTTCCCTGGGATTCCGGAGGTTTTCTAAAAAGAAGGATCCCTGGAAAGAATGGAAATGGAAGCTACCCCTAGAATTTCAGGCAAGCCACCAGCTACAAAAGGCTCTTCAAACAACCGACACACAGCGCTGTCAAGAAAAGACACGCATCAAAGTGGCTTTGAACCCTTTGAGTGATGTTGGATTGGATGGTGTTTCCCTTTTCGACACCATCGGACTGGGCGACAATTCGGGGAGAGGTCCAGCTTTTTGCATGGTTTTGAAGGGAACGCGAGAGGAACCTCAGCACTTGGGTTCCTATCTGGAGACAGAGCCACCCGGTTCCACTGACTCTTTACTGGGGAATGTAGACCAGTGCAAGGGCAATTGCTGTTTCAGCGACTGATCGTTGGTTTCCTTTGCCAGTGTCCAGGCGTCGTCATCGTTTAGCCACTGCAACCAAACTCACCTCCCATGTTTCTGGACTTGATGCTCTTGAGGAAATCAGTTCAAAGAGAAGCAAGACCCGCTCAGACCTGCTTGGCCTCAAACAAAAAAAATGAGTTTCGGGGGGGATTTTGTGGTTCAGCACGGGGAGATGTCTCAGAAGCAAAGCGCCCGACGACTCTTCGAAAGGGGAAGCTGAAGTTTGGATCGATTAGTTTGGCTATGTTTAGCTTGAAAGTAGATGGGTACTGGTTTAGATGGGTTTTGTCAACCATTTGCCAGGGAAACCCATCTGTTTTCTCCAGAAGGTCACCTATGGCTGAAGCCAGACAGGAGATGGTTCACCAGAGTTCCTTGCCAACTCCTTTTGTTGGTGGCTCCGCGTGGTTGGCTATGTTTTGCTTAGAGGGGCGTGCAATAGACTATCCGAACGGTGACTGTTGGTCTGGGTTTCCATTTTAGACTGACTGGAACTTTAGCGGACAATGGATGTTTGTTGTTCTATGGTCTCTGAGCAACTCTGCATGTGGTACTAGCTACTTGACTCTCTGGCATCAACCGTTCCTGACTGGTGGGTTGACGAGGCAGCGGAAGTGCCACGCAACAGGGATCAAATGGACTGGCTTTAGAAGGAATCGTCAAAAGGCTCTTGCAAAAGTGGTGAAGCCATTCATGGCGTGTCTTTTTTTGCGGGGCTCCCCACATTTTGGCTTCGGGTTCCCTGCTGGCATCCCTTTAAAACCACAGAAACGCCCAAAGAGAAAGACGAGGGCCGCCCCGCGGTTCGAAGCCGAGCCGGGCTTCTCTGAGGTCCCTGGAACTGCATGCCTCATGGCCCGGGGCCTCACTCATGTCCGGTGCGTAGGAGTTGCATCAACTTCACTTTTCCTGGCTCGTGACGGTTCTCTTAGTTTGTTGGTGGTCTTCTTATTTTGTTGGTTCTAATATGATGTGTTGGGTTTCTCAGTTTTGTTGGTCTCATAATTTGTTGGTCACTTTGGTTGGTCTCATTGTCTTGGCTCCTTTGCTTAGGCTTCTTACTCTTGTTTGGTTCTCTTCTTTGTTCGCAGGGGACTGCAAAATAGAGTCATTTGCTTTTTGCCATGCCAGGGGTTGAGGTCTTGGAGGGTGATTTTTTGTCTTGTGTGCCAGACTAGCGCTAGGGTCCTTGGTCAGAGAACAGTCTTCATCATTTTAGCGGATTTGACCATAGCACACACACACACATGAAAATCAAAATGATCAGGGGGCTGTGTCTATGTCTCTCTCTCTCTCTCTCTCTCTCTCTCTCTCTGTCTTTCTCTTTCTCTTTCTCTCTCTCCCTCCTCTCTATGTCTCTCTCTCTCTCTCTCTCTCTCTCTCCCTTTTTCTCTCTTTCTCTTTCTCTTTCTCTCTCTCTCTCTCTCTGTCTCACTGAACAGACGAGGAGACAGCAGTTGGTAGTGATCTTGAGGATACCTTTGGCACGATCCAAGCAGCTACCAATACAGGTGCTTCCCAGAATGAGGAAGCACTAGAAAAGGCTGACTTCTTGGTTTCCCCGATGGGCTCCGCTTGTTTTAGGACACGCCATATCCACGAGTACTTTGAAGTCGATTCAGCAGGATTGCTCTCAAAGGGATTTTTCACTAACCCTCCCCACCCCCCCTCCCCCCTCCACAAAAAAAAGAAGAAGACAGAAACAACTCAGTTGCCCAAAGCCGACCTTTTGAGCTTTTGGTTTTCCCGTGCTGGTCCTGTGATTAGTGGAAGTGCCAAAAGGTTAACCTTTTATTTCCGGGTCCTTTTGGGCAATTCGGGCAAGTGAGACAAGGCACCACTCCAGACTGGAACACGGCGAGAGCGTCAGAAGCTTTAGGCCTGAGGAACAGCTCCTGGCTGAAAAGGCACCAAGAAGGGGGTGGTTCTCGAGCCATCGGAGAGTCAAAATCAGAGGGGCATAAAATATAAGGACACCCAGATTCTTGCGCAACTCGCAGCGTCCCAGGCTCCTGGATCCGCTCGAGAATCGATGTTTGTTCAGCGCAAAAGTAGTCCACGGCAGAGGAGGCGCCAAGCAACCTGCGTTGAGAAAGATTCGCACAAGAACTTTCAGACTGAGCTTGCACACAGAGAATTGCACGGAGAAACTTGAGAGCTCGCGCAGAGAAGCTTGCACGAGAATTTGCGCAGACAAGCTTGTGTAGGGAAACTTTTGCCAAGGGTCTTGCGCAGAAACCACTCTCAGAGAGAACTGGAACGGGGCACTTAGGAAGTTTCACCATGATCATGCTGTGTCATGTCCTAGTGGCGCGCGTGTACTCTGTTTGAGACTGCCTCGATTTATGCTTTCGCGCCACCCGTCGTCTAGTTTAGTTTGAGGGTGCCCCGTTTGGATGGTTGCAATCTTCCAATTTGCTTAAGAACTTGCTTTATGTTCCCAGGGTAGAATCCATCACAGGAAAAACACAAAAAAACACCTTTAAAAAAAGAAAAAAGAAAAGAAGACACATTTTCCCCAGGGGCTTCAGCAATTGGTTGTAAAAGGGGACCAGAAGGTGGGGCGTGCGGGAACTTGAGGCGACGACCCGCTAGCCACGGAGGAGCCAACGCCAAAGCCCCACGCTGGTGCATCCACTGCAAAGCGCGGTCTGGGGTCTGGGGGTCCTTGCAAGTCTCGTTAAAGGTTTTTGCAAACCTGAAATACCCGGTTGTCATTCAAAAGGAAATATTTAGGAAAACGTGATTTGGAACGTGGAACTGCGTTTGACGCGTTCCCAACTGTTTGCCAATAAGCTCAGTCCTTGACGGGTCGGAAAATGGAATGCCTTCAACTTGGCAGGCTTGCTAGTTTTGCGGCCACAAGTCGGCACAAACACGTGCAAGCAGGCGCACATGCGCCTTCACCCACCACTCGGGTTTCTGGAAATTTATGCACCATGAAGTAGTCAGCTGCTTGTCACGCACGCCCGGTCCATTGTTTTCGAACTGTCCTTTATTTTTTGTTGTTTTGAGCAACCGGCATTGAACGCCACGAGTGGCACAAATTGAATGACAGATCATTTTTTTCAAAGAGGAGAAACAGCAGGTGTCCAAACTGGGCGAAGCTACATCATCCTGAGACTTTGCAATCTCAGCAAAAGCTTGAAATTGCCAATTGCCGTGAGAACGTTGCAATTGTGGGCCATAGTGGATTCTCTCTCAAACCTGGTTCGCATGGCTAAGGGTACCAATTCGGGCGGTGAATAAGATTCAACCCGAGAAAGAGTTCCTGCGCGCAGGTTGTGGGCCATCGGTTTTTTTACCGCGGAAAAATAAACCGGGACGTTTGCATGGGCACATTTGCCGACCCTCCCGAGAGGTTGGAGGGTCAGTCTGCAACCATGCGGCCGCGAAGCATGAGACATGCATGAGCCAAAACCTCATGGAATGTTTCTTCAAGACATGAGAATGTCTTAGTTGGATTTGCCTGTGCTTCTTTGTGGGGACTTTTGGAGCTCCGTGTGCTGAACCTTGTTTGACCAGACACAGGTCGGCCGACTCGCGAGTCTCGCGCGGTGTCGGTTTCGAGGCCACAGCTTCACCGGGCCATGCGGGGCATGCCGGACGTGGCCGGCAGGAGAGGAGTATGGACATTGCTCGGACATGGGGTTTCCACCGTTGGCTGGTTTTGTTTGGCTTGCCTTTGGTTTCCCTTCTGGTTCTCTTTAGTTTGTCTTTGATTTTCCTTTGGCGCCCTTTTTTGTCCCTTTAAGATCATCCCAAGATGAGGGGCGCTCAAAAAGAATCAATCCCACAACCAAAGGTCAGCGTCCATCGCGAGTGTTGCAGCGGATGACTTGGAGCACGATCACCAACCAGGAAATGGGATGGAATACTGGGAATACTGACCAAATTTCAAAGTGATTGGGGTACAGGCTGAATTTTGACTGGTGGCCTAGTGGGTGGGGGGGCTTTGCTTTTTTTTTTTTTGCAAATTGGGGTGCATAAGAAGAAGCAATGGCTTAAGGGACACAGCTGAGGTAGGAGACGTGGGAAGTTTGCCAATTCGGCTTTGAGCATTGCCAGGCTCCAGTTCACCCACTTGGGAGCAACCCTGTCTTCGACTCTTTGACCCTTTGAGTTCACTGTTTTGGTCCTTTTGGTATGTGTCAAACAAGAAAATCCAGCAACTGATGGTTGTTCTTTTGGCTTTCCGTAAAACCCAACCTCAAGAAGGAACCCTACAGATGCACGCTGCCATTTTGCAGTAGGTTCACACTCGATTTCCAGGTGTCGGCTTGCGGCATGGAGTGGGAATGTGTCGGGAATTTTGAGAGGGCCCCCGTTGTACATAGCCCAACTTGAGTCGCAATCAAAACCCGGGATTGGAGATTAGTAAGGGACACAAACATGGAACCCTCCACAAAGGTCCCCTTAAGCGCCTGGTCTTCCAGCAGAAACCCTGTGCAGGTTCTCTGCTTGTTTTTGGGAGGGTAAGTGGCTGAACCAGGCGCAGCCCGCAGCGATGGGCCATGAAGCAAGCGCCGGTCCCAGCGTGTGCAAGAGATGGCTGTGGGTCAAAACCAATTGTCCCATTTTGGGGTAGGTGAATTCACCGCCCATTTTAGAACCTATTTTAGTGGGGATTGGGATGTTCACTGAATATACGATGTGGATTTTGACCCACAGCCAGATATGCAAATCGGATGTGTGGGGATCTCATTGTTCTTTGTCGCGTCCGAGAGTCTCTGCATTTGTTCTGGGTGACACAATTTCAAGCATTCCCTCGGCAGAATGTGTTTTGTGGAGTTCACAGATGGATTTGGTGCCTGTCTGGTGAGAGGGGAGGGCGTTGGAGCCCAAGATTTCAAGTGTCTCGATCAGCTTGGCAGCTGAAAAGGCCACATTTCCCCCGATTTTACTTGCGGAAGCTCTGACAGTTTCTCCACATGAAGCCTGTTGGTACCAAAAAAGGAGACACCCAGTATGGTACATGCAGCTGAAAAGGCGACATTGCCCGGTACTTGAAGGGAAGCCCAAAGAAGACCATCGCCATTTTAGGGATACAAAGTATCCCTTCGAACAACTCCCTGCACGTCCATGGTGACATCGGCTGAGGAGAACCTCCCGCACGTGCTGAAGGAGATTGGGCTGCTTTTCGCCATGGGGTTGGCCCGTGAGAATAAACTCGCCAGAGGAACTTCGATGGATTCCTTGGGGCGGTCCCTTCAGAACTGGGTTTTGATGGGGAGAGAGCGAGTCGAGGGGTTTTTGGCCTGCTTGGCCCGGGCCAAGGGAAGCTTTTCCAAATCAGGGAAGGGACAAAAACAACAAAGTGAAAGCCGATGGGAGTTTGCCAAGACAAACCCAAAGCGTGGGCACGATTCTATGTGAGTCAAAAAGTGGGGATAGGTTGCTCCATCAAAGGCTTTTGGTTCTGTCGGGGTGTGTTTTGTTGCGATGGGGGGTTGCTTCACGGGGAACCAAATTGAACTCATCTTGAGATTCCCATTTGCCAACCCCGTTCAGAGTGGTGTTCAGAGCTGAACCCTGAACATATGTTTTTTTTTGGAGTCCAGTCCGAGTGGCTTGACGAGGTCAAACCACTTGGCTTTGGACAAAGCTCGGGCCCTTCAAAAAAGGTCGCTGAAACATCTTTCAATCCCTTTGGGTTTCGCATTTCCTCCTGGATTCGCTAGGGATGGCTGTGCATGTTTGGCGTTGCCAAGATCTTGCAGGATTTAAGGTCATCTACAAATGGAAAGGTGTGACTGTGAAGGCGTTTCAACATCGCCCAAAAGGCACTCCTAAATCAACGATATTCAGCGCAAAGGCTCAAAGCATCCGTCAGGATCTGGCACTGCAACTCTCAGAGACCCGGCGCGGCATTCAGGACCGGGAAATCAGAGCGTTTGCGCGTGTGAACCTTCCGGTCGCAAACAGGCCAATGCGTGTCTCGCCTTTCTGGGATCCAGCTTTGAGTGGTTGTCAAAGTCAGTTTCGGGAACCTTACCCACGTACCACCTGGGTTTGACTTCGATAAACCAGTGGCGCGAATTGGTGGTGCCTGCCTGACCGTCTTCCAGCGCAGGATTCTCGCGAGAAGGTGCCGGGCAAGGCCGGGCGCCTTGCAACCGCCCGGGCGAAACAACGAGCATCCAATCCCTGGGCCATGTAGAGTTTAGAAGGGGCCTTCATGGCCAGCAACATAGTTGCTTATGAGCTCCTATTCCCAATATAGTGGTTCTAAAGGGTGAAGCTGTCATTCCCAGCAACAAACATGCTTTGGTGCGCAGGGACCCTTTCTAGAAGAAGAGTAGTCTTCCATCAGGAGTACAATCCACGTCTGTCAGAGCGTAACCCTCCACATACTTTCGGATCGAGTTCCAAAATCAAAAGAGCAATATCCAAAACCATGCAAGCAAAATGTCACCCCCAAAAAGAACACCACGAGCAACAAGCCCAAAAACAATGGCAAAACAAAGGCTAAACAAAGGCTTAACCCCAAAAAACAATGTGTTAACCCCAAACAACCGGATTGCGACAAACCCCAAAAAGCCAAAGGCTTGGAAAGTCGCAATTTTCGCAATCATGCGAAGCAGAGAGTCGCGAGATTACGAGAGCGAGCGAGAGTCGAGACAGGAGGCGCGCCCCGCCTCGACGGACTCCAAGGACTTTGAGCGTTTGCATGGCCCCGGGTCTTTTCTTTGCGGGGGGTGTTTCCAAAACTGGGAACCCTGGTGGGTCCTTTGTTTGGGGGGGGGTGTCCCAAAAAAGTCGGAACCCTGGTGTTTGGAAAGACTTGTGTTCCATTCCTAACAAAAAAGTGTTTTGCTTCCCAGCCATCCGGTTCCTCAGGATGTGAGCTGTTTGGTTGGGTTTTGAGTGGTCGTTTCCGTGAACAGCCACTAGACGTGTTCGACTTGGGGATCAGTTTGGGACAGCCCTGGGGCGCCCCTTGGGTCACCTGCTCGCTCTTCAGGACAGAGGCCTCTCGATCGCCAAGCGACAGGGCCCTGCCCAGGCGCGACCAAAAAGAGAGAAAGCAGGGTTTGTCCACTCGGTTCAATCGGCTCGCTGGTTCCCAGCCATGCGGTTCCTTAGTTTGTTTTTAGCTTTTTTTGTTCTTTTAGATTTTTTGTTGGTTTAGTGCCTGGGTTTCCATTTCACCATCATTAAAGGTTGAGCTTTCAGAAGGGGATCTGAGGATAGCCCAGGCAGATGCTTTCGTGGTTTCCGACCCTTTTCAAGATGCTTGTTTCTCATGAAACTAATTCCCACCCCCCCCCCCCCCCAACAAAAAACCTCCCGCTTCAGAGAGCTCTTGGCAAGCTTGGTTCTGTTCATGTTTACACGGAGCAAGGAGCACAATATATACTTTCCGACCACTTGCTTGTTGGGAAACATTTTACATGTTTGCTTATCGTGGTTTAGTGGTTGAAATCCAACCACTGAACTGCTAGATATTTTCATTTAAGTCTTTGCTCCCCTTCCAACGTCAAGACCGGGGGTCTCCCCAAACCCAACGTCAACCAAGACCAGGGTTTAGCTTCGCCCTTGGCAAGAGAGAAGTCGTCAGGATGCCAAGCCGAAAATGAGCCTGGCGGTACCCAAGGCTGAGAGCCACAAGGACCTGGGCAGTCGTGGTGTTTTCTTCTGACATATTGGCTGTGGTTGTCAAAACCGTCAAAGGGGATCCCAATGTTGGTAGGTGAATTCACCACCCATTTTAGAACCTAGGTGCACCCTGTGGCTCAAAACCGTTTTGGGATCCCATTTTTGGGTAGGATGGGTAGGTGAGTTCACCACCCAGTTTTTAGAACCCTTTTTAGTGGGGATTGGGATGTTCACTGGGGGTACGTTTTGAAATTTTGACCCATGGCCATGTGGGAGTGCTTGGTTTTAAACAAAGGGAAGATTTGGTGGACTATCAGACTAGGAGGGGATTTCTGTCCACCTCCCACTTTTCGAAGCAGGTCCCTATTGAAGTTCATATCCAAGTAAAAGTTTAGACCTGTCCACCAAAGGGCCCCCAATTGAGATTCATACCAGTCGTGTACCGTCTTTTGGTTCAGTGCCGGGCCTGCTGTTTCCAACATGTTTTCATATATTATCTTTTCCAATTGAGCAGGGAAGTGGACAGCAGGCCTTTTACAGGACGTTGGGCCTTTTGGCAGTTGCTGGCGGTCTTTTGGTTTGCTTGTCCAAAGAGAATCAGCCTGCCGACTTTTGGCTTTCCAGTTGTCAACTGCAATCCAAGCCCACCCTCCCAGTTTCTAGACCAGCAAGTTCAGACTTTGTTGGGGCATTTTGCCACTATCCCTCTCAGTACAGGAGAGAAAGAGGCCATGCCAAACCGGGCTTTGTCTCTGCATGGTGATCCCCTGTCCGACAAAAGGACTCAGCAGAAATTCACAGGGGGGAACCGGCGTCGACCCGCCCATAGTAAGACCACTAAGCGGTACCCTCCAGCAATTTGACACACACACACACAAACATTTCTCAAAATGGTGTTTGTTATCAAACAGCGAAGCATTGGGGTTCTAACTTGAGGTATAGAGAATGGGAAAGTGTGACGCCGATTCCGGGATCCTGATTTCTGCTTGTCTTCCTGTCTCCCAGTGTCTCCGGTCAGATGCCAGATGCTGTGACGCCGGCTCCAGGATCGTGTCTCCCGCTTGTCCCTGCGTCTCCCGCTTGTCTCCCTGTGTCTCCCAAGGTCTCTGCGGTCAGATGCCAGATGCTGTGACGCCCGCTCCGGGGTGGTGTCTCCCGCCTGTCTCCCTGTCTCCCAGTCTCTGCGGTCAGATGCCAGATGCTGTGACTCTCCCGCTTGTCTCCCTGTGTCTCCCAAGGTCTCTGCGGTCAGATGCCAGTCAGATGCTAGATGTCGTGTCTCCCTGTCTCCCTGTTCCCTGTGCCCCAGTCTCTCATTCAAAGGCCAGATGCTGCGACGCTGGCTGCGGGGTCGTGTCTCCCGCTTGTGTCTCCCAAGGTCTCTGCAGTCAGATGCCAGATGCTGTGACGCTGGCTGCGGGGTCGTGTCTCCCGCTTATCTCCCTGTGTCTCCCAGTCTCTGCGGTCAGATGTTAGATGTCGTGTCTCCCTGTGTCTCTGGTCAGATGTCGTGTCTCCCGCTTGTCTCCCTGTCTCCCAGTCTCTCATTCAAAGGCCAGACGCTGTGACGCTGGCTTCGGGGTCGTGTCTCCTGCTTGTCTCCCTGTGTCTCTCAAGGTCTCTGCGGTCAGATGCCAGATGCTGTGACGCTGGCTGCCGCGTGGTGTCTCCCGCCTTTTTTTGCCTGTGTCTCCCAGTCTCCGCGGTCAGACACCAGATGCTGTGACGCTGGCTTCGGGTCGTGTCCGGTCTCCCAGTCTCTGCGGTCAGATGCCAGATGCTGTGACGCGTCTCCCGCTTTCCCTGTGTCTCTGCGGTCAGATGCCAGATGCTGTGACGTCGGTGCGGGGTGGTGTCTCCCGCTTGTCTCCCTGTCTCCCAGTCTCTGCGGTCAGATGCCAGATGCTGTGACGCGTCTCCCGCTTGTCTCCCTGTGTTCTCTGCGGTCAGATGCCAGATGCTGTGACGCTGGCTCCGGGGTGGTCTCCCGCTTGTCTCCCTGTCTCTCCCAGTCTCTGCGGTCAGATGCCAGATGCTGTGACGCTGGCTCAGGGGTCGTGTCTCCCGCTGGAAAGGCCAGATGCTGTGACGCTGGCTCCGGGGTGGTGTCTCCCGCTTGTCTCCCTGTGTCTCCCAGTCTCTGCGGTCAGATGCCAGATGTCGTGTCTCCCGCTTGTCTCCCTGTGTCTCCCAGTCTGTGCCAGCGCCGCACTTGTGGCGCATGGCCCCTGTGTCCATTTTTTTGATAACCAAATATACATCCGCCTGATTGCTTAGCTCTGGATTCTGAGCTGCTTTTTGGAAGGCAGTGCCGCACTTCTTGGCCAAGTGCAAGTTTGCATCCTTGTGTGGCGCATCAGCAGAGATCTGTCAAGCCTTAAAATATGTACTTTTGTTCTCGATCAACAAATACCGTGACATCCACCTGATTTCTTTGCCCAGGATTCTGAGCTGCTTTTTGCAAGCACTTCTTAGCCAAGTGCAGGTTTGCATCCTTGAGGCGCATCAGCAGAGCTGTCGAGCCTCAAATCTGTAGATTGTTCTCGATAAACAAACATACCGTGACATCTGCCTGATTGCTTTGCTCAGGCTTCTGAGCTGCTTTTTGGAAGCCAGCGCCGCACTTCTTAGTCAAGCTCGAACTACAGCAATGCTACCAAGAGGAGACTAGAAGACGGGTGGCCCGAAAGCATGAGCAGCGCGCGGCGCCAAGTAATCCTAGCAAGTTCTCTGCGCAAGTTCCTCTGAGCAAGTTGTTGGCGCGAGTTCCTTTGATCAAGTTCTCCAGGCAAGTTCTTGGCACAAATTATCTGAGCAAGTTCTCTCAGCAACTTGAATCCTGAGCAAAGCAATCAGGCGGATGTCACGGTAGTTGTTTAACGAGAACAACAGTACATATTTAAGGCTCGGCAGGGCTCTGCTGATGCGCCATAATGCAAACCTGCACCTGACCAACAAGTGCGGCGCTTCCAAAAAGCAGCTCAGAATCCTGAGCAAAGTATTTGTTTCTCGAGAACGAAATGGACACATTTACTGCGACGCTTTTTCCTCACCTATGCAATCCAGTCCCACTGACAAACGAAACGCATTTTGCTGAAGCATTTCACACCTGGCAAGGTCGCAGCTTTGACGTATCTCGTTGCCTCCTGACAGAAGAGTTGAAGACAGATTTCTCAGCCTTGTTTCCACATATTCCGCAATATGAACGCTGCTGTTTTGCACGTGTCTGAAAGTGCCAGGGCTTGCAAGTGCGAGGGGTCGTAAGGTGCCATCCTCTGAGGCGCTAGCTTCCCTACAGTCTCTGGACCCATGGAACACCAAAGCGGTCAACGTGAGCCGTATTGCATGGCGCTTGTGCTAGCCTCCCGCAGTGAGTATTTTGGAAATCCGAGCAATTCCATTTCATTCTCGCAATCAACGTTCTTTTCCGAGACCTCGACTTGAATTTGGCAGCTCCGGGCGAGATTCTGATTTACTTGCTCGCAGCATACGTGGCTTGTCGGGAGGGATGTGCTGATAGCATCAAGACCAACACGTGCTACAGACATGGCCCATCCATTTCTTCTTTGACGACACAGCTTCGCCTCCACTACGCCTTGAACATCGATTCCGAGCGTGGCGAACCCCCCAGCAAAATTACGGAATGGCGGCTCTGGTGCTCAATGTCATGATTGCAACAAGGAGACACGGTCATGGCCATGTTTCGACATGTTCGGTGGCTCTATAATCTAATAAGAGTTTCTAACGCCGCCGCCGTGTTTGATGCTTTCTTTTTGACCCATCAACAAGAGCCGTTTCGCCAATCGCAGAGTGGCTTGGTGGTTTCCTGGTTACTTGCTCTTGGAGATCTGCTGCTATCGCAGAAAACGACGAGCGAACACACAGTGCTTATCATCTTGTTGCATCATAAGGGGGGGTCCGCTCCAAGGTTTTTTTCTGACCGGTTTCCAGAAAGAATTGTCCTGGAAGTATAGCCTGGGTGAGTCGGGTCCCCAACCAAATCATTAGCTCGTAAAAGTTGTTTGCATCGTCCCTGCACTTGTCGATGCATAGGAGCTCCTGACAACTTGGAAAGAGTTCACAAACCGGCCAGTTGATTACAGTGCTGCTGGAGCTGAGTGAACGCAAGGCCCAGAAGTTGTTGCCAGCGGCGTGCGTTGGAATGACGGCCACCGGTCGTTCACCACACATGTGAACACCAATCTGCGAACCATAAGCGCCAACTCCAAGATGAACCCGGCCAAGCTGGTGGTGTCCACTGTGCAGCCAGCATTGGTAAGTTGGGGCAAAGTTCTCACACGTTTCCGAGATGGAGCAGGGCTGGAGCTGACGTTCAAAGCCACGATTGTTCCAGAATGGAGGGGTGTTGGGCGCATGGAGCAAAGCCATGCGTTGGCCTTCTTGGGAGCACGCGGCGCGCTGGACACGAAAGAGATGAAGGCCCTGGATCACCAAGCTACTGCCGGCTCAAACACTGAGGATTTTCTGCAGCTGTGCCGGGTGACAGAGGTGCGCGCCAAGCGGGCACCTTTGCTGACGCTTGCCAATTTGGCGCGGCGTGTGTCTGCGTTGCTAGGCGAGGATGTCCCGGCCGTAACGCTCTACAAGGCGCAGTCTGCAAGTTTATGCTCTCTTGCTTTGCTTGTGGCAAGACCTTTAGCCGAGCTCGAGAAGAAGATAGCAACCAGAAGTGGCATGTGTCCAGTCTCGGCCGCAAGCTGCTGAGACTGACGCGCAAGTTTCAGCAGAGTAGCGAGACGGCCACCAAATGCTGCGGTGATGGAAAAGCGCATAATTGAGTGTCCGTGCTACGAAAGGTCGAAACTTCCTTTGATTGATGCCGGGTGTTAGGTTGATGCACCCCGAATCCCCGGGGCCTTCACTCTCGAACGTGGCATTGACATGGAGTTTTCTCCCCGAAGTCGATGAACAACATCGATGCTTTTACCCGGCGTCAAGGAGATGGATGGACCCGATGTGTCTTCTTCCCAAAAAAGTGGACTTCCTGCAGGGACATACATGGACTGATTGTAGCTATGTGTTGCTCACATAAGCTACTCAAGTTCGCACCTTACATGAAGGAGACAAGCCTCGTTTATTTTGGGTTATACAGACTTGTCCTGCCTTTTTGCTGTTTGGGGTCGAGGCTGGTGTAACTTTTATTGATATTGTGCTTTTTGGGTGGCAAGAAGGGAACCAAAACCCTAGGGTTCATGGGTTGACCCAAATCAGATTGTTTTTCATGATAGCAGAATCCCAGGAGAAGGGGGCCTCCAACAGCAGTTTTAGTGGAAACTAGGTGAATAGATCAACTTTGCCGGAAATGGATGTTGACCCTTGATTGAAAGGCTCTCTCAAAACAAGAAACATCCAGCGTCGAGGCCGTTTCTAAGCCTACCAGAACTCGCATCCACCACTTTAGCCTTTTGGTGCTTAGTTGTAGTTTCCATTTAACCCACCAAAAGTTAAGCTTTTAGCGGGGGATCTTAGGGCAGCCCAGTAACCCTCCCCCCCACCCCGAAAACCCAGGAGGCTCCGAAGCAGTGGACCCCGCGGAAGCGGGCGGAGGCGACTGGAAACCAGCTTGCTCGGCTTTTCACCTGTAAATTTGTAAGAAACCTGCTAGTTGCTTGGATATGTGTCCCGTAAATTTGCAGAAGTGTGCTAGTTGCTTGGATTGACCTGTGATTGTGTGAGAACCTGGATTGCCATTCGACCTGTACATTTGCAGGAACCTTGCTTGGACCTTTGTCGAGTAGATTTGTAATTGACCTGTAAATTTGAAAGACACTTGCTATTTGAGTGGATCTTTGACCTGTAAAAGTGTAAGAAACTTGCAATTTGCTTATATCCTTGACCTGTACAGTTGTGAGATACATGTATTTGCCTGGATCTTTAAGCTGTAAATTTGAAAGACGCTTGCTAATTGCTTGGATCTTTGAGCTGTGTATTCGTGTGAGACTTGCTAGGCAATTTGATCTTTGACCTGTGATTTTGCATGATCTCGCTATGTTCCTGGATCTTTGACCTGGAACTGTCTGGGAAACTGGCCATTTGGATCTTTGAGCTTTCAGCTTGTCGGGTAACCCACCAAAGGTGTACCTGTTTGCACAGGCAAGAGCCACCAAGGACAGGGGCTGCTTCGAGCCTCAATGGCCACAAGGATAAGAGTTTAGGTCACAGGGGTGAAGGGTTGTACCAAAATGGCGACGGTTGATTGCAGAAAAATCCCGGTTTGGAGGGTTAAAGCAAAACTGGACAGACCCCTGTAAATTCCCATTCCATCTGGTTTCCTTTATTCGGGAATCCCCAAAACCGGCTCAGCCGTAGCACCCCGGGCCATTCCTTTCACCAGGGCCCGAGCTTCTTCCCAAGCCAGGGGCGGCCCGACCGTGGACGACCCTCCTCAGCTGACCGAAAGCGCACGCCCACGAAGGCGCCGGGAGCAGTTGAGCCCCGAAGATGAAACCTGGCCGTGGCTTGGTGACAAACCAAACCAAGCAGTCGCAAAGTCATGAACACGGACATCTCAACCACGGGTGAGAGAATCTGGGGATCCCCCCCAGATGTTTCCTCAACAGCTGAAAGCTATGGGGTCGATAGGCCCGGATATGCGATCAGGGGTGGGGAGGGAGGTGTCCGGCTGGAGATACTACCCGGGGCCATGTTTTGCATTTGTCCTCTGATCTTCATTTAGTTCCACCCCAAAAGAAAGGGTACCCTCACAAAGGCAATGCCAAACCAGCCAAGCCTACCAACCTGGATCAGACTGAACAAACACCCCCTTGGTGGTGTTTTTTTGCCTTTTTGGGTATATGACGTCATCCTCCCCAGCAAACCTTGGTTGTTGTTGGGAAACGGCTTTTTCCCATTTTTGCTTATTGTGGTTGAGTGGTTGAAATCCAACCACTTCACGGCTAAAATTTTACGATTTTTGGCTCCCCTTCCAACGTCAAGCAAGAAGCCGTTGGATTTGCGACTCGGGGCCCGCTGACGTTGTTTCATGGGCTCTGCGAATTTTTTGGATCCGAGAGGCCGAGCGCCGGAGCCGGAGTGAGACGGACCGCAACGAGGACAATCCAGTTGCCCGGGCCGCGGGTGCGAATTTTTTTTCTTCTCGAACTAAGGCGCAGAAGCGCGGCGATGGGCAAGGAACCGGGGTCGCAAAAATGAAGAATGACTGGCTGTGAGTCAAAAAATGGTACCCGAAATAGTTTGCCCTGGTAAACGGAAACATCGACTAACACCCGCGGTCCTTTGGTGGTTTAATTTTGACCCATACCCACATGCAGTTGAATAACTCATAGGTTCTTCGCAGGACCCAGGCGACGACAATTGCGCCGCCTTGAATCCGGGCTTTCGCCTTTCAGAGCACAATGTTTCGATGGTTTTCATACGTGCGGAAGCCCGCTTTGGATTCTTCGCAGTTCGGGGCCATTTTGTCAGGGCCAAAACAAATTTCTAAGCGAGCACATGGCTGGTTGAAGGGAGCAAGCAAGAACCCCTTGCCAGAGGAATCACGAAGGAGGCTCCGCCGTTTCCCCTAGCTACCCTCGGAATATTGCCCCAGAAGTCCGTGACGTAGACCGCCAGGCCTCGTTCTCTTGCTTGCGAAACGGGCAATTCAAAGAGCACATCGCTGTTCGGACCCAGCTGTGAGGCCGACCTCTTCGAGATTCCGGAGCAGTTGCGCGAGGACTCGCCGCTCGTTTCCCGGGAGGGCGGTTTGTTTATCAGGAGGCCAGGCGTGAAGCTCATGCCGCACAGGGCAACCCCTCCATTCCCCTTTATGGAGATCCAGGGACAGTCAAAAGAAGTAGGTTGGCTTTAGAAGGGCACCATGATACTGCGGATGGACGAAATCCTGCACCTAAGAAGCCCTGGAATGATGATTCCACTGTAAATACCACCAAACACTGGTTTTCCATGGTTTCCAAGTGGTGCAGGATTCCGTCCATCCACAGTATTGCAGCATGCCCATCACCAACGGAGCCGCAGCGGTCAAAAGCAAGCGCCTGGATTGCTCTCTCTGCAAAGTACATTCTGACCAAAGCTCGCTGGAAGAACCGCCGTGGGTGTGTCTGATTTTCCTTCCAGCTTTTAAAGCACAAACGAAGGGGTATCCTTCAAAGAAGACACCCCTAAGTATCAACACCGACCTTGTGGTTTGCCAAGAAGTTGCCCAAAATTCCAACCAGTGCCACAGAGGAAATTGACCTTTTCCGGCCAACTTTTCGGAAAGCTAGAATTCCCCTTTCGGACCCCGGTTTAAGTTGGTTTTCAGAAAACCCAAAGTTGGTCCTGCAAAGTTGGAGTTTTTCTAGAATCCACTTCAAAGCAAAAGAAACGGGAGACCCAAAGTTGAAAAACCGTCTCTAGAATCCATTTAACAAGAAAAGGAAGACAACAAAATCAGCCAGTTGGACGCCCTGTTCCATTTTCGGGTCGCAGCCCCCGGTCTCACCGGGCCCCCCCCCAAGCTGCTGGCGGCTGGCTCGCGCGTGGCTCACGCCTCGCGCCAGGCCAAGCGCCGCACCTCGGAGCTGGAGATGCAGCTCGCGGAGCTGCGGCAGCGCCTCGATGAGAAAGTTCTCAAGGGCGTGGTGTTTTGTTTGTTTTGTTTGTGTGTTGATGAGACTATGACTGGAAAAAGGGGAGAGACTTTCTGTTAGTTTTCTCCAGGGCTTGTTGGCTTTGACTGGAAAAAGGGCGAGAGGGAGAGGGAGAGAGAGAGAGAGAGAGAGAGAGAGAGAGACCTCCATTGTATTGGATATCGATGCCCATGTGGAAGTTAACTGGTTTCCTCGGAACTGGTTTCCTCGGGGTCTGCGTGGTTCTTATTTCCCAGCCGCGAAAGAAGTTCCGGCTCCTAGGCAAAGCAGGGTTTCGTCTTCCTTATTTTCTGATGGTTTTCTTAGGCTTCCCCTTGCAGAAGGCACCCTTTATGAGATTTCCTGGGGCTGCAGTTGGCTTGGAGGACCTTCAATCGCATACCTTGCTTCCAATCATGGAAGCTAAAAGTGGCTTCATGTTAGCATACCGGTTACAAACGCGCGCTCGAAGCTTTTCGGCGAGTTGCGTAGATGGTTCTGCCTAGCGGGGGAATTGATTTTAGGGGCAAGAAACTATGGCCACAAGCAAAATGGAACTCGCAACCAGGCGCATCGTCATTTTACCGGCCCAAGTATGAGATGGCGTATGACTAGAAGCTGAGAAGTAGCTCAAGCAAACCAGCCTGTGGGTTCTGGGTCCTGGCCAGAGCTGAATTAGCTTGCCATAGCCGGTGAGTGATACACCATAGCTGAGTAAGTAAGCTGACCAATGACTGGCCATAGGACATAGAACACTATCTTGACGTACCAAAGAAGTAAGTGAGAAAGTCAGGACGGACTGGTCCCCAACGCTAGTCACGGATCAAGTAAGTTTGAGGATAGTTTAGCCAGCTCACAAAGCTCGAGCAGGGTGATTGGTGGTGGGTGGGATGGTTGCAGAGGCGGGCGGGCTGGCTAGGCATGCTTTGATGGGCGAAAGGTGGACCAGGTGGGCATAGTTTTAATCTACCGAATTCCATGGTGACACCTTGGCGGACTGCCTGGATTTCTTGCTTGAGCTGCCGTTGGAGGGCCATTGAAGTGATGATGACAACCAGGTTCATGCATGACACGTAACATGTTGCAAGAGCTCATTTCTCTGTTTTTGCAAACACCCACCGCAGCAATCAACACCTCGGAAGGTTAGGGAAGTCATTTGCAATATGCCTCGGTGTGGCAAAAGCTACTCGGCCTTTTTGATGCTGTTGGTTTGCCCAAAGGGTCCTGGCAGCTTCCATGGAATCGCCCGAGAGAGGGTGGTCCCGGTTTTGAGTGCAACAGCTTGTTCTTTGGGGACTCGTGTTGGGAATGGACCAGTTGGACCGCCTTATCTCAATACTTGACCCCCTGTTCAATACTCACTTCCTGAGTTCCTGAACTTTAAGCTTTTGGGAAGACCATTGTACTGGCAAATAATCAGTTTCGACTTTTCGTGGCCCATCCACTGCCTCCATCCGCTTTCGGATGTGGGGGGGTGGGGGGGCAGAGGAACGCAAAGTGGTTGGATGATGCTTGTCGGTGGGTTGATTGGCTGGTTGCCAAGCAGTTCTAGCCTGAGGCGCCTTCAGCAGCAGGAGAACCGGACTCTTGCCGCAGCCCTGGTCAAAAACGCTGATCTCGAGAATCACATAGCTGTTGGGGTGGTGGGGATTCATGTCCACCAACATTCATGTCCACCAACCACTTTGGTGGTGTTCCAACTATGAATTGTCATTGCCATTTGGGTTTACCTGTGTTTGTGGCTTTAAAGGGAACCAAGAGGAGAACCACAACCCCCTAAAAAAGACAGCCCAACGGGTTATTCCTTTGGGGCACATCTTACGCGGTGGATTTTCTTGATCTCGAGACATCCAGGCGTCCGCACCGGCACCAACGCCAGCTCCGTTTGTCACGGCCGCCGAACCCTTAGAATCACTGAGAAGGCCGAGTCGCCATTCACGTCCGCTCAGAAGGTGGTTGCTTCAAATGTGTCTTTGGAACTTCCATGTTGGATCTATCCATGAAAATTTGTAAGAATGACCCCGACGATCAAACTTGACGAGACTTGGAGTGGTTTTCGGCTAGCAAACAGCGCACCTTCGCCAGTGCAAGTGTCACTGGTAGCGCTATTGCCGCTTCCGCAAGGATATGCCCTTGACACTAATCCATATTTGAAGGGAAACATCCTGCTTGGCGGATTGAGGATAGCGTCCTATTGAAGGCCACATGTGGGGGCTTTTAGACTCACGCAGCCTTCCTGCCGAAGGAAAAACAAGCAATTCGAAGGGCCTCCACACTTTTCAAATTCCAAGAAACCTTTGGTATCCCATTAGCCACCTGTGACTAATCGGAACCCTCAACAACCAACCTCCAAGTAGATGACCACAAGATCAATCGACACACAATGCGCCAATTGGAACTCAAATCCAGCAATTCAATTGGAAATGAATGTCCGATCTCAGCAGGAATCTCCAATACTAAATCAAATGGAAACTCAAAATTGCCAGTACTACCCAATTCTGATGCCTACAGCAAAACATGATTTGGGGGGGGGGGGAAACAACTGTTTTTTCTTCCTTGAGTACTCCCCCCGCTTGTGGGAGTGAATAGCGATGGATTGGGAAATGACACTAAAGAAAGTTGAGTTTGGAAGCGTTGCTTTTGTTCGCAATTGTCTTGGGTAACTGGTTGGGCGCTGGACAAGACTTCAGCCAACTAATTCGGATTGGGATCGCACTAAAGTGGCTTTGGTTGAGCTTTCGGGGTTGAATTATCTCATGGTTTTCTCACTCATGGTCTCTTTCTTGGGAGATTTCCTGGATCACTCTTTTGGAAGGCTTTATTGATGGTTCCACTAATTTGGACCATTCTGGCAGCCTTTTGTACTCATAGGTGGAGATTCTGTTCAGAGGTTCAAAAGCAATAGGGTTCCCTATCACGTTCCTTGTGGCTTTTTTCACGTCTGGTGGCCAATCTAGCGAGAGATTCCGTTGGGGTGAGTGTTGGTTGATTTTTTGTGCGGGGAAGCCACTGCATGCACAATAGACCCGGACGACCTCGGTGGGGAATTGTTCCCAACAGCTTCCCAACAGGTTCCCCTTCAAGTACTAAATCAGGTCGCCCTTTGTTCGCAATGGCATGGGCAGAGCAACTTCCATCGCCTTTCTCGGAACCCTATGGTGCACATTCCAATGACCCTTAGCTGCCCAAGTAATGTGTGTGTGTGTGAGCGTTTTGGTTTTGTTGAGGGTTCCCTTCTCAGGTTGGTTTGTTGTGGAAAACCGCAGAGATACTCACCATTTGTGGGGTCGGAATCCCAATTGGGACATACCCAGAACTGGGTCCAGCCGCCGTAGTAACTCTTTACATGCTTCTGGGTTGACCATGTTGGGACCAGGTTTTGATCATGACTCATATGAGGGTGCCTTTGTTTCCCTGTCGACACCGGCCAGCCGGCCAGCCGGCCAGCTGGCCAGCCGCGATCGAGCTCGCGCTCGAGCTCGAGGCCGGCCTGGTGACGCCCCCAGCCTGGACGGCACGACCGGCGCCTTTGGCCCCCCGCGAGGTGCACTTGGCGTCCCACGTGGCGCCGGCGTTCCTTGGCGCATCTACATCCAAAAGCGTCAGGAAACCACTGGTGAATTCATGCTTGCTTAAAGGTTTTTTTCCGAGTGACCCCGCGAAAAAAGGGGGAGCCTGTGGTTTCGTTGTTGTTTTTTCTCCCCAACAGCTGGAAGCTGTGGGGTCGATAGACCTGGATAGGCGAGAAGAAGCGGTTTGGGGCAGCTATCAGGGAGGGTTCCGGAAAGGTCGCAAGGGGTTCCGGGGCTGTTGGGGATCTGGGCTTAGTCTGAGAAATCGGTGGGGTGTTTTTGGGAGGGTACCACCCCTTTGGGTTGTTTTTAAAGGGAAACCAAAAGGACACCACACCATGTTGGAGGTTCCCTCATGTTGACAAGCCAAGTCTTTGGATGCCATGGAGGGTTCTCCTTTAATCCTTTGATCCTAGGTTCATGTGTTGTTCCTCTCTTCTTCTTTTTTCTGTGTGTGTGTGTGTGTTTTGCGTGTTTTTCTCTTTTGGTTTGTGTGTGTGTGTTCCTGCTTGCTTGCTTGCTTGCTTGCTTGCTTGCTTGCTTGCTTGCTTGCTTGCTTGCTTGCTTGCTTGCTTGCTTGCTTGCTTGCTTGCTTGCTTGCTTGCTTGCTTGCTTGCTTGCTTGCTTGCTTGCTTGCTTTGTTTGCTTTTCTCGCTTTGCTTGCTTGCTGTTGTTTGCTTTTCTCGCTTTGCTCGCTTTTCTTGCTTTTCTTGCTTTGCTTGCTTTGCTTGCTTTGCTCGCTTTGCTCGCTTTGCTCGCTTTGCTTGCTCGCTCGCTTGCTTTGCTCGCTTTGCTTGCTCGCTCGCTTGCTTTGCTTGCTTTGCTCGCTTTGCTTGCTCGCTCGCTTGCTTTGCTTGCTTTGCCTGCTTGCTTGCTTGTTTGCTTGTTTGTTGGTTTGCTTGTTTGCTGGTTTATTGGTTGGGTGGTTGGGTTGGGTGGTTGGGTTGGGTTGGGTTGGGTTGGGTTGGGTTGGGTTGGGTTGGGTTGGGCTGGGCTGGGTTGGGCTGGGTTGGGTTGGGTTGGGTTGGGTTGGTTGGTTGCACTCCCAACTAGCTTCATTATCTGTGAATGCGGGTGTGGATGGCGTTCCGTGGATTTTTGTTTGTGTGTTTCTTTGTATGGTTGTGTGTGTGTGCTTTGGTTTGTTCAGTGGGTTTTTGCGGATGTGCATCCCGTCTGAAGGCTTGAGCTCGAAGCTGGTGGTTCAGCTTCATGTTGACAGTGGCTGTGTCAGCTGATTTGGAAGTCCGTTTTCTTTGGCGGTCTGAAGTGGTCACGACTGATTGTGCAGGGCTGAGAGACTTTTCGCCAAAGCCAGATTGCATAAACCGGCCTAAAATGGCCTTGTTCCAGCCAAACAGGCTTCCCTACACTGCACTACCATGCAACGACGAGCTCATGCCAGCTAACTGTGCCAGACCAGTCGGACACTGGCTCAAGGTGATGCCTGGAGTGCTGGCCCTACAACGAGCCCACACATGAACAACCCACAAATCACAAGGGAACAAATCCCTCTACCCTCAAAAACACACTGACAAACACGACCCCCCCCGAGTCCCGTTGTTCCCGCATAGAACCCGGGCGGTGTTCCTTTTTTCCGGGTCCAAGGTTCGCAACGCAGCCAGAGCTGAAGCCGAAGGCTTACTCGAGGCTTGGCGGAAATTCAGCTCGCTGGCGCGAGACGCAGGGAATGAGAAATGGGAGAAATGGAATGAGCCTTCTACACCATCCCAACACTGGTGGTGTTGAAGGGAATCCCAGGCTCATTCCCTTGCCCACTTGTCGCACCAGCAAGGAGATGGATGGCTGGCCGAATCGGTGGCTGGGTGGTGCGGATTGGTGATTTCCCATCTACCCGCTAAAGGGAACCAGGGGTTCAATTCCAAATCCAAGCCAGCAATCCAGACCATCAATTAGGGGCAACCTGAGAAATGGGCGCGGATCTCCGCCCTCTTGATTCCTCTTTTCCGTGGGTTTTGGGTAGATCGCTTTCAAAGCAGGCGTTCACTGTGACTCAGGTGGGCTTCGTTGGCTGGAGTGAGGGATTCCAACGTCTGTCAAAAGCCACCTTCCGTTGGGATCGCAGTGGCTTCCCACAATGAAGGGCTGTTTCTTGGGACGCGCTTCTGATTATACATCGCCACCATCTTTTTTCGGAGAGTTCCTTCTTTTCCGAGTGGACGAAAAAAACAGCAGCTGGCCAGTTCTTGAGAAGGATCGGAGGTTTGCTGCCCGCCGGGCCGCCGTTCAAGCCACCCATGTCGTGTTGAGCGGACTGAAAAAGAGAAGCCTTCTGTACTACGAATTCGGGGGGTTCAACAGGGAACATCTAGGCGCGTTTCCTGTTTCCTTTTTCATAAACATGGGCATTGCACAATTTGTGTGCTCAACCGTGGAATGTAGAGCCAACCTTTCCCCAGAATCCTTGGTTGAGCCCATTCCCTGCCAACAAACAAGCACGACTTGACAGACCCATGGCACATTCAAGACCGTTGAGTTTCAACCTTGCCATTGGCTAGGAAGGGGCACGCATGATGTAACAAACCCCTGGTTGATGGATAGGGGGTATCCAATTTTGAGGGCATCGTTCACTTCACAGGCCGCTATGACAAAAACATATACCACATTGAAGTGTCCGGGGGGTGAGCATGCTGCAATGCTGCATTGTGGCTGGTTGGTCCGAAGTCCGGATAAGGATGCAGACACCGCCGGTGGAGTTCTTGTCTCGCGATCACAGGCAGAGTGAAGGGGTGGGGTGGGGGGTAGTTGTGGTGTGGGTTCTGCCAAATCATGGCCTCTTAAGGAGTGACCCCCCAACTTGCTGAACAACAAGCAGCTACCCCGGAGATTTGGGTTTTGGTCTTGGATGCTTCAGCCAGCCATGGGTACTCAGTTCAAGTCCAAGGATCCTTCACGTTTCTCAACCAAGCTTCCAGTAGTTAGGGAGATTTAGGGAGCTTCCCTCTCACAGAAGGCTTGAGGGACGATCCCTGGGAGATCCGGGGAGATAATATCTTTGTATTATATGTATAATATATATATATATATACACATATATAATATGTACATATGTATAAATACTATTTTTACCAGATGGCTAAAAGCTCTAGGGTTCTTACTTCTACTTAGTAAAGAGGGGAAACGGATTTGCGAGATTGATGGCTGGGTGCTAGGGGGCATGCAGTTTGCGGTGCTTGGGGTGCTGGTGCATGTGTTGTTTTGGGTTTTTGGTGGCGGTGCGGGCGCATTTTTGCGAGATGCAGTTTGAGCAGGTGCTGTTTGAGGTGCCGGGCACGGCGCGGGCGCGTTTTTGCTAGATTGACAGCCGGGGGCTTGCGAGATTTATGAGCAGGGTGCTGGTGCAGGTGTGCTTTGGGCTGCTGTTTGCTGGCGACGCTGCGATTTTTGCAGGATTGGCGGTCGGGTGCTTGAGGGGTGATGTTTGGGCTGCTGTTCGGGGTGTGACGCCGCAGGCGCGTTTTTGCGAGATTGACGGTAGGGCCAGGGGCGTGCAGTGTGGGGTGCTCGTGCAGGTGCAGTTTTTAGCTATCTGGGGTCTATGTTGGTCTAATTTTATATAACTAGTGTCTGGCATGTAAAAGGAAGCTTGCAAATGGAGAGGTACCTAGCTGGGGGCTACCTGACATATCAATCAATTACTAAGCACGTGGCAGGCTTACCTTTGTTCCAGGCTTCAGTTGCTTCCCAAGTCGCGTCGTGGCGCCCCGAAGAACCGGCGAGCGGGCGATTTTTGCCCCGAGCTGATCGTTCCTTGGAAACTGAAGGGACAGAGTTGGACCCGACCCAACTGACGGAAGTAATTGGGATGGTCATGGAAAAGCACTGTCCCAAGCAACACTACGCATACGCGTGATTTTGTATGGTCAACAGTCACCATAGTTTGCTCTAGTTTGCTCTTGTCAAGGGGCCGCCAAATTCCCAATTCGATTCAGGGCACAAAGCGGAGTTGTTGTTCGGGACTCACATGCGGCTAAGCCTCCACTGTATCACGCACAACTTGCCGCATATCAGCGTGTAATTAGCTGCAATGAACCGTAACCAACCATTCGACCCTTTTCGGCAGTCGTTCAAGTGTCTTTGGTCGACATCCTTTTTGGCTGCTTCATTAGCCGCACTCAGTTCCGGTGGTAGCCCAATATTCGAACCGCCTCAAATTTGATCGCAGGCCTGAAGCTGTCCGGGTCTCCATACCATCGCCTTTTTGGTTTGTTAAAAAAGGAAGCCCAACAAACTCTTTCGGCAGGGTTCCCCAGTCGAGTCGTCAGGGCCTCCTCGCCTCCGATGGGCGCCCGCAGTTGCAGCCCCCAGTTTCGCCAGCTGTCCCCGTGCCCGGTGCACCGCTGGGTGGCACCCCCCTTGCCCGCTGCCGCCCACGCTGGCGGCCAGGTGTACGCAGCACCCGTCTCGCCGCACGGACGAAACCGAAGGGATGAGGCACTTTCTTTGAGTGATGTTTGGTTGAAAGGCCTCTTTTGTTGATATTTCAGTATTTAGCCGTTATTCTCAGACGCCGTTTCCCCGGATCAATGGAGTCAGTCTCAGGTATCGCCTGGCCTCCCCGTCGCCCATGACGCGCACCTATGTTGCCAGCCCTCCACGCGCGGGAGTGAGCCCCATGCGATACGCCGCGCCCTTTGCGGCGCCGGCCGCAGGGCTCCCAGCCAGCACCTCCTTTTGGGTGCACGCGCCGATCGCACCGCCGCCGGCGCAACTGCCATGGCTGCGGGACTTTCGCGCCGGCCAGTCGCCGAGCTCGGCCAAAGAGCCGCCGGATTCGGCGCCAGGGGCTCTCACGGAGCCTGTACAGGCACTGACACGTTGATCCAGAATTCTTGGATCCCATTGCTTCGCTACTAGGTACGAAGCCAAGTGCGACAAAGTGAGCTGTTATCAATCTGTTGGGCAAACGTATCTATGGGTAGCGGGACTAAATGTTCAGGAGAGAGTCCAGGATATGATACGGGTTTAGTTAGTACTATGAGCTAATTTGAGGGCTGCCGCCCTGTCCGCCTACCGCAATGGGGGAAATGGATCTGTTTTTGTTCCCCCCCTTTTTTTTTATGTTTTCCTCAGCCTTCTTCATCTTTTTCTTGTGCGTTTCTTCGACAGTGCTTAATGGAACAGTCGAATTCCATAAAGAAAAGATGAGGATGATGACGACCATGATGATGGTGTTGGTGATTAGCTGAGGATCCCCCTCGCATCCGCAGCATCACCAGCCAGGTTACACAAGAAAACAAGGACAGCCTCGAATTTATTGATGGCCTACACCTAAACACTCTGGGTATTTGTTTCCGAAAGTCTCCACTGCGCATCCCCGGCATTACCAGCCGTGCCTACAAGAAAATGATAGCGAGATGATGATGGTGATGCTCACGACGATGATTCTTCTTATTATTAGTAGAGTAATATTACGCATCCCCAGCATTGCCAGCAGGATGATGATGATGATGATGATGATGATGATGATGATGATGATGATCATGATGACAGTAGTGTTGATGATCATGACTACGCATCACCTAAGAACAACATGATGTGATGATGGTGGTGGTGATGATGATCGCGATGAAGCTGGCGATGACGATCATGATGATGCATCCCCTGCATCAACAGCGAGGCCCAACACCACATCTGAAATCTATATTGGTGATCATGATGATGATTATGGTTACCATCCCCAGCAAACATGCAATTGGCTGTCCAGTGTAACACTGATTTGTTGCCAGCCTTTCCATGCGCCTCCTTTGGCAAGAACGGGCTGGCGGATATAGATTCTGTATTTTAGGGGATGGGATAACCTAGCCTCATCCATGAATGAAGAGCAATCCAGTCGCGTTTTTGTAACAACCTCGGGATTGCGAATGCTGTGGGACCGGGGATGCACTAACACCCGTTCCGTCCCAGCCGTTTTGATCCAAGTTAGCCCTGCGAGCCTGTTGCGCCATGTTTGCGGCTACTCTGTACGTTGGGCTTGCGCTTGCAAGCGCTGCAGATTGCAAGACTCAGACCAGCGGTCCCTGGCTCTTGCAGCAACACAGCCGTCGCAGCCAAGCAACTTCTGATGGCAACCAACCCCCGGCTCAACTCATGTCTTGCCCTGGAGGTGATGTACAAGTCACAGAGTGCATGACCCAGGCGCAGTATGATGCCATGATCGCCGCCGTTCGCGGCCATCTCGAGTCATTGCCCTCTACGTGCACTGCCGCAGATTGCCCTCAGGCAGACTGGGCCGGGTGCATCTTGCGCATGGCGGGCCATGACTTCATGGACTTTGCCAATGGCCAAGGTGGCGCGGACGCCTGCACGGACATGAGCACCTGGGCTGAATGGCTCCCTTGAATGCTTCCGGCTCGGGCCGACGTCACGCGATCCCAACTTGAGGGTGGCCTTCAGAGGGGTGGGCACATGGTGGTGCAATGCTGGCGCGTGTCGCATTCCCTGAAAGGGAAAGGATTTGGTCTAGGTGGACCCTCCGAGAACCGCAGGGGAACGGGAGGGGTAAGAGGTAAGGTGGTAATGTGGCATTTCGTCCCAACACACAGTCAGTTGTCGGCGGATTTGCGGAAGGCCCTCTAACGAGGTATAGAGTGTGCTTGCTACAGTCACCATCCCTGAAATGTTTATACGAAGTTTCGATTGAACAAGACTGCACCAAGTCTTTGAGACGAGGTGACCCTGACAATGCGGGTTTGCGTGAGTGCCTGGTCACTGGAGAGCATGGCATCTCCCTCCAGGAGGTGTACCAAAGCTTTTGCACGGAGGTGTCGCTGGCGGATTTCCTGGTGATCGCCGCGGAGGCTGTCATCGCATCCACCCGTGCGCGGCACGAGCAAGCCACGCCGGGTGCGCCGCAACTCGACCTGCGAAGCTCGTTTCGCTTTGGCCGAACCACCTCACCGTGCACCTCAGTGACAGGAAGCTTGCCCAACCCAGAGGATGGATGTGCAGCGGTGGAGCAAGTCTTTGCAACTCTGCAAGCAAGCAAATTTGTTTCTCAGAGCTTTCTTGCCTTCTTGCATTCAGAATCCACTCATTGGTTTAACTTGTCTTGGACGTAGCTGGGAGTTGTGTTGCCAGTTGCCCAGGTGAACAATCTCGGATTGGACTGGACAGAAGCAGCTGCTTTGATGGGAGTGCACACCTTAGGCCGTGCTCACATCGGCAACTCCGGATACCATGGCTGGTGGAGCGATCCCGTGAATTCTAGACGTTTCAACAATGACTACTATGTCTCCTTGCTGGCTAAGGGTTGGATTCCTGAACTGGCGATTAACGGAAATGCGGGCAAGAATCAGTGGCAGCGTAGTGACGAAGGAGCCGACAACACCTTTGATGGTCACGAGATGATGCTCAACACTGACCTTTGCCTTGTTTACAGTGAGAATGGACAGAACGGGGGTCCCGTCATTGCCAGCGAGCACGACTGTTGCGCCTGGCTGACTTCAGATACGATTCCAGGCGCTGTTGCCAGCAACGGTGGTGAATACTGTGGAGGTACCCCCGGCCGCGGCGAGCGTGGCCAATGCTGCGGCGCGCAGCAAAACGACTGCGGCAATCGCAACGACCCCAGCGGCCCTGCAGCTCCTTGACTGCTATTGGGTTGGATGTTTAGACTTTAACTGTTTGGCAAATCAAAGTGTTTTCCACCAAACCCGCAAACAGCTCAACTTTTTGCAGAGGGGGTCAGCAAGGCACAGGCCGTGCTCGCCTTCGCGGCGGATGAGGCGGCCTGGATCGAGGCCTTCGACCGCGCCTGGCACCGAGCTACGGAAAGGGGTGCCGAGGGCCTGCGGTCCTTGGGAGACTGCACGGCTGCGACCACCACCATTGCCACAACGACCACCACGACCACAACGACCACCACGACCACAACGGCTGCAACGACCACCACGACCACAGCGACCACAACGACCACCACGACCACCACAACCAACACGGCTGCAACCACCACAGCGACCACCACACAGGTTGCAACAACCACACAAGGCACAACCCAGGGAACCAGTGCCACAACCACCTCGACTCTTTCCAGCACTTTGGAGTTGCTGCGAGGATTTAGCCTTGCAGACGGAGGCATTGACCGCTCCTGCGTGGGGGATGTTGACGAGGTGGTGAACGTTGGGAACATCCGAGACTGTCAAGAAGCATGTGCAGACGCTCGACGATGCCGCGGGGTGGAGTTCACAGGAGGCGTTTGCACTCTCTGGCGGTCCGTGGACTCCACCGAAAGCGCCGTTGGCTCCGTTTGTTTGCGCTTCCGCAGCAGGGGAGGCAAGGGGCGAGGCGACTAGGATTGACTTTGCAGAATGGGCCCCAATAGCGCATGCATAGCAAGGCATGCCAGTGCCTGTCGGTCTAGCTTGTGACAAAGAACCGGCATTTTGCGCAGGTGCCCTTTTGAATTCGTGCGTGGCTCGGCTCAGACCATGCATGGGGATGTGTCTAGTGTTGACTTTGCAACAGAACAGACATGTATAGATGGCCGTTTGCGCATGCATAGCAAGGCATGTCAGTGCTTGTCGGTCTCGCTTGTGACAGAACCGGCATTTCGCGCAGGTGCCCTTTTGAATTCGCGCGTGGCTCAACTCGAGACCATGCATGCGGATTTGTCTGGTTCTGCCTATGTCTTTTAGAGATCTTAGCAAATTATGAAATTGCTGGCCTTTGTAACCCCCGATTTGCAGGATCGATCTGAAAACTCTGGATCTGTCTAGTCAAGGGAAAATACATCCGTGGATCGAGGTGCGTCTTGAATGATAGGTAGTGGCTATAGGCTTCATTGAAACAACTTTGACTGCTCTCGGATTCCCTTGTTTGAGAACAAATTGGTTGCGTATTTTTCTTGATTATTAATAAATAGTATTCTTCTCAAAATATTGGTTGATTGAGATATTTCGAATAGTTTGATATTTATTTTTACGATACAAAAAAAGAAATATTCTCCTATAAACCGGTACGGCCTCGAGGTCGCATTTCCCGTGCACCGGCAAGCCGTTGCAGCGGTACTCCGGCCGAATCGTCGTGCTTGCGGCGAGCGGCTATGCTTGTCCCGTTTTTTCTCCGCGGCACAAGCTCCCGCCTCTTCGCGCGGCCCGGAAGGCCCCGAAATTTGGCCGACATTTCGGGGGTTCTTAACAACTTTGCTTAGAGTTCCCGCGGCGTAACCCGGCCAAATTTTCCCGAATTTTGGGTCGCTTCCGGCGACGCGGCTCTTAGGTGTCCGGACGTTACCCCCGCAAATTTCTGCAGAATTTGGCGGCTTCCGAAAAAAATACCGGGCCAAATTTCGGGGAAATTTGGGGATCTGTCCGAGTCGACATTTCTCGAAAATTTCGTGCCGGGTGTCTCCGTATCTTTGCCTCTCTCTGTGTCTCCCAGTCTGTTTCCGTGTGTCCGCATCTATCTATTTAAGCGCTTCGCGACACAGCCGGCCACCGGGCAAATGCACGTGGGGCGCTGGCCCTGTACCTGAAGGTAGGCCCTGCGGGGCTGAAGGCCCCGGTGGCCGGACTTGCGTTGCTGACAGACCACCGGCCGCGCCCACGTGTAAAAACGCAAACGTGTGCACTCAGAAGCCTCACTGCTAAGGGGGTTTCCGACATGTTCATACATTTTTCAGGGCAAAACGGATGTGACCACCACAAAAGGGGGACACCCAAAGACCCATTTTTCACGTTTTCGGCAAGATTGGCCCAACCTAGGGGACAACATCCACCGCATCACCAGCATCATCTGCATCAGTGCCCGCCATGGATGCGGATGATGCAGGCAATGCCGGGGATGTTGTCCACCATGGGCACCCCCCAAAAAACGCTCGTTTTTGACTCCGCGGGGAGTCGGTCCAAAAACGACCCCTTTTCGCCCAAAACACACCCGAACATCCTTTCCCCCCTGGCAGCGAGGTCACAGCGCAAAAGTATAGCGCATGGTCGGCGCATGGTCGGCGGTGGTCGGCGGCACAGGGCGGCCGGCCCTGTACCTGAAGGTAGGCCCTCCGGGCCTAGGCCTTCGGCCGTATCACGGACCACAGGGTCTGAAGCCCCCCGGTGGCCGGATCGCTCCAGATTCGGACTCGCCGCGGGGCTTGCAGCACTATCTCTTGAAACCAAAAAACAGAGCAAGGCAACGCGAGTCCATGCAATTAAGTGCTTACGGATAGGTCCCTGCGCAAGGTGTCTGGGGACCTATCGATTCGAGCAGTGTGAAACTCAGCGCTGCGATTTCCACGCGTAGAAACGAGACTGTCTGGGATTCTACGGTCCCATGTAAGGTTTATCACGAATATGTAGTCCGAACCAAGTGGCTACTGGCCAAGAGTTTCACACTGCTCGAATTGATAGGTCCCCAGACACCTTGCGCAGGGACCTATCCGTAAGCATTTAATTGCATGGACTCGCGTTGCCTTGCTCTGTTTTTTGGTTTCAAGAGATAGTGCTGCAAGCCCCGCCCGCACACGTGCACACTGTATGTTAAGATCTTAAGATGTCAAGACTTCAAAATTTCAAGATTAAGAGTTTAAGGAATTTAAATATAGCCCGGATTGAAGGAATTTTATTATATATTTTTTCTTGTTTATGAATTTAAGATTTTCAGATTGCAATAGTTCGAGATTTAAAGAATTTAAGTTTTTGAAGCTTTTTAAGATTCTGAGATTTTAAGATTGTAAGACTTTAGGAATTTCATATTTTAAGAGTTTAAGATCTCAAGATTCTAAGACATAATGTTTTTAAGATTTCAAGATTCGAAGACTTTAGGATGTTTTATATTTTCAGATTTTAAGATTCTAAGTTCTAAGATTTTAAGATCTTGAGATTCTAAGATTGAGTGTTAGATTTTACTTTAAGATTTTAAGAATCTAAGACTTTAGGATTTTGAGATTTCAATCCAGGCCATTTTCCATCCATTTTCCATCCACTTTAAGATTTTAAGATTTTCAGGTCGCACGTTTTCGGCAAAATTGGCCCGACTTAGGGGACAACATCCCCAGCATCCCCCGCATCACCGGCATCATCCGCATCAATGCCCGCCAAGGATGCGGATGATGCAGGTGATGCCGGGGATGTTGTCCACTATGGGCACCACCCAAAAAACACTCGTTTTTTGACTCCTCGAGGAGATGCTCAAAAAGCCGCCAAAACTCGCCTGAACAAATCCGGAAATCCTTCGCCCCTTATAAGGGCGGGCCCAGCTTGGCGCAGCGCAAAAGTATAGCGCATGGTCGGCAGTGGTCCGCGGCACAGGGCGGCCGGCCTTATACCTGAAGGTAGGCCCTGCGGGCCTAGGCCTTCGGCCGTATCACGGACCACGGGGTCTGAAGCCCCCCGGTGGCCGGATTTAAGGGCTGCCGTCCTGTGCCGCCGGCCCCTGCTTGCTGACAGGGGACGTTGTTATGACAAATATGACTACGCATTTTTTGGCGGGTTTCACGGCGCATTTAAAGCAATATGAAAAAGAAGAGCAGCACGATAATGATGATGTTTTTGATGATGCATTTTTCCCAACATTAGGGATGCTGATACTATGCATTTGCATTATCGCCAGCAGTTATGATGATATTTGTTACTTTGCATTTTTTAGCATCACCAGCAGTTGTTCTGATAATTATGACGACGAATTCCATCATTCCATCTTATCTCAAACAAGCCACTGCGGGATAAATTCGCATGACAATAAGCACCTTGTTGAATTTTACCAGAAGTGTCTCGGGTGTGTGGAAACTCGGGCAGGAAAAGGGGAGGCGCATGGGAAGGGCTTGTCTTTGTCCTGGTCTTAGTGATGATTATCATCACCGCTGATGTTGGGTGATGGTTCACAGCATCCGGATCATCATTAGCGTGGCGCTCTTCTTTTTTCATGTACGTTTCAAGTGTGCCGTTAGACCCGACTGGACATGCAGAGGATGCGTTGTCATGATTGTCATGCTGCTGATGCTGGGGATGCATACTGATGACGTGAAATGCTGGTGATGATGAGGATGCGTAGTGATGAGTATCATCAGGATGATAAACATGATGACGAAAATAATGATGATGAAAATGATATCCATGATGATGATGATGCTGATGATCGTGATGGATGAAAATGATGGTGGTGTTCGTCATCATCATGTTCATGTTCATCATCATCATGTTCATCATCATCATCATCATCATCATCATCATCATCATCATCATGTTCATCATCATCACCACATCATCATTTTCATCATCATGTTCCTCATCGTGTTCATGTTTCAAGTGTGCCGTTAGACAAGACTTGAAATGCACGGATGCGTTGTCATGATGTGATAACTGCTGATGCTGGGGATGCATGGCATAGTGATGACGTGAACTGCTGGTGATGCTGAGGATGCGTAGCAATGATTATCATCAGGATGATGAGGATAAACATGATGATGATGAACATGATGGGGATGATGAACATGATGATGATGAAGATGATGATGATGATGTAAAAATGATGAAGATGATGAACACCACCATCATCACTTTCATCATCATGTTCATCCTGGACATCAATGATGAACACCACCATCATCATTTTCATCATCATCATCATCATCATTTGCATCATCATGTTCTGGCGCTCTTCTTTCAGATACGTTTCAAGTGTGCCGTTACTGGAATGCAGAGGATGCGTTGGGATGCATAGTGATGAACATGATGAGGAACATGATGAAAATGATGATGATGAACATGATGATGAAAATGATGATGATGATGATGAACTCATTCTTGTTCTTATTCTTATATGCATTTCGACCCCATTGGCAATGCAGAGGATGCTACGACGATACTTATCATCACAGTCCTCATCCTTATCATCACTATCATCATGGCTATTATCATCTCTTATTAGCCGGCACTGGTGATGCCGAGGATGTCATCATCATCTCTTATTAGGCAGCACTGGTGATGCAAAGGGTGTTACGATGATAGTTATCATCATAATCATCCTTATTCCTATTCTTATATGCATTTCAAAAGTAACGTTAGACCCCATTGGCAATGCAGAGGATGCTACGATGATAGTTATCATCACAGTTCTGGTTAGCTGGCACTGATGATGCCGATGATATAACAGCCCTCATCTTTGTCATCGTAATCATCATGGTCATCATCGTCTCTTAGTAGCCGGCACTGGTGATGCCGAGGATGCTACGATGATAGTTATCATCACAGTCCTCATCCTTATGATGATGATGACGGTGATGATGATCAACATTATGAACATGATGAACATGATGATGAAAATGATGATGGTGTTCATCCTCATTCATCATGCTCATCATCATCAATCATTTTCGTCGTCATGTTCACCGTCATCATCATCATCATCATCATTTTCATCATCATCATCATTTTCATCATCATCATCATCTTCATCATCAACAAAGAAATATCAATATCATCGTCATCATCATCGTAGTAACCACCATCTCTTTCTATACTTTTCTAAACTATACATTTCAAGTGTGGCGTTAGAGAGCACTGGTGATGTAGAGGATGCGTCGTCATGATTATCATCATGACTACTTGTTCATCAGGTTCATCATCATCATCATCATCATTTTCATTGAACACATCATCATCATCATCATCTTCTTCATCATCATGTTCATCATCATCATCATGTTCATCATCATCATTTGCATCATCATGTTCCTCATCATGTTCAAAACCGTAGCGCTCTTCTTTTTCATGTACGTTTCAAGTGTGCCG